GCGTGAGTGGCGAAGTTAGAAGAGAAATTACTCGTGGAGCTTTCCTAAGAGCGTTAGCGCCGAAGCTAGAAGAGTAATACCGGCGCGCCGCCGGGGGGGTAGTTGGCAAACAAATCTCGACGAAAGTTTTTTTTTGTGTTTTATTCCTTGACCTCTTTACATGATTCGTAGAGCTTCCTAAGAGCGTGAGCGGCGAAGCTAGACGAGTCGTTCCAGCGCGTCAGGGGGCTAGTTGGCAAGACAATATCGACAGAAATGTTGTGGAACTTTTGACCTGTTGAAAATTTATATTCTGAAGTTTCAACCATTCGTTAGAGATCTAAAATTGTTCTTGTCAGATTCGATATTATTCATGCTCGCCCTCTATCTCAGCTCGATCTGGTACCTATTACTGCCGAACAGCAGCCAGGCGGGATCGAGTGTTTTGGTCATCTTGAGAGATGCAGTCGGTTTTCTTAAGTTAATTCAAGCTGTAGGACAGCCACAGAGCTGGTAGGCAAACTTCATCGATGAAGAACCGTCAGGCGCGTTCAACTGAAGTATCTAGACGTCTGAATTCGGTTTGTTACTCGAGCTATGTACGCAACACTATTTGCACTCTACTATTATATTTGGAGATGATCATGCGTTTCTTGACAAACTTCGAGCTGCAGATGAGCTACACCACTCTTTGGCACAGAACTCGGGAGGAAATCATCGGGCGCGATAGTCAAAAGTATCTAGACGCCTGCACTTGGTACGTAAACAGCGCTAGAGCCGAAAGACTATTCGTGCTCTGCTATTTTTAGGAAATGGTAATGGTTTTCTTGACCCAACTCGAGCTGCAAATGAGCTACAGAGCTGTTAGGCACAATAATCGGAAGCAAATCATCGGGCGCGCTAGCTGAGAGTATCTAGATTCTTGATCTCGGTCTGCTATTAGAACTTGGGCCGAAACATTATTCGTAATTACCTAACAGCGAAGACTGATAGGTTTCTAGTTGACTCAAAAGAGCTCACAGATCACTCCACAGGGGGGTCCGGGCAGGTGTTGGGGAGTTGCCGGGCGGCAGGGTGCCGGGCTCGTTTTTCACCAAACAGTCAACACACTATTCGTGCTCTTCGACTTCCCAGAACTCCATTGCACCAGGCCACTTCTAACTACCCGGATGCAAACAGTCACACACTTCGTGCTCTTCGGGATCCCAGAAACACGCCATTCCCGGGCCCCCTTTTAGAATAACGGATGCAACAGTCACACACTTCGTGCTCTTCTATTTCCCAGAACTCCATTCCCGGGCCACATTTGGGATGCCCGGAGCCAACTGTAGGCCACTTCGTGCTCTTCGAGTTCCCAGAACTCCATTCCCGGGCCACATTTTGAATGCCCGGAGCCAACTGTAGGCCACTTCGTGGTCTTCGAGTCCCCAGAACTCCATTCCCGGGCCACATTTTGAATGCCCGGAACCAACTGTAGGCCACTTCGTGGTCTTCGAGTTCCCAGAACTCCATTCCCGGGCCACATTTTGGATGCCCGGAGCCAACTGTAGGCCACTTCGTGCTCTTCGAGTTCCCAGAACTCCATTCCCGGGCCACATTTTGAATTCCCGGAGCCAACTGTAGGCCACTTCGTGCTCTTCGAGTTCCCAGAACTCCATTCCCGGGCCACATTTTGAATGCCCGTAGCGAACTGTAGGCAACTTCGTGCTTTTCGACTTCCCAGAACTCCGATTCCTGGGCCACATTTTCAGCAGGGGCAAGAGCACGACGAGGAGGAGGACGAGCAAGACCATGAGGACGAGGACGAGCAGGAGCAGGACGAGGAGCAGGAGGAGCAGGAGAAGAAGGACGAGCAGGAGGAGGAGGAGGACGAGCAGGAGGAGGAGGACGACCAGGAGGAGGAGGACGACCAGAAAGAGGAGGAGGAGGAGGAGGAGGAGGAGGATAGAGGGGGAAGGGGAGGGAAGGATACCAGGAAGGTAATGCAGGAGGTAGGGAGGAGGAGGAGGAGGAGGAGGAGTGGGAAGAGGGAGAGGAGGAGGAGGAGGAGGAGGACGGAGGACGAGGAGGGGGAGGAGAGGGTATGGGGTGGGATAGTACCAGGAGGAGGAGAACGAGGACCACCAGGAGGAGGAGGAGGAGGAGGAGGAGGAGGAGGAGGAGGAGGAGGAGGAGGAGGAGGAGGAGAGAACACCAGGAGGAGGAGGACGAGCAAGACGAGGAGGACGAGAACGAGGACGACCAGGAAGAGGAGGAGGAGGAGGAGGAGGAGGAGAAGGGGAGGGGGAGGACTACCAGGAGGAGGAGGAGGAGGAGGAGGAGGAGGAGGAGGAGGAGGAAGAGGAGGAGGAGGACGAGGAGGAGGAGGAGGAGGAGGACGAGGAGGAGGAGGGGGGGGGAGAGCACCAGGAGGAGGAGAACGAGGACCACCAGGAGGAGGTAGGAAGGAGGAGGAGGAGGAGGAGAGGAGGAGGAGGAGAGAAACACCAGGGAGGAGGAGACGAGCAAGTACGAGGAGGACGAGAACGAGGACGGCAGGATGAAAGGAGGAGGAAGAGGAGGAGGAGGAGGAGGAGGAGCAGGAGAAAAAGGAGGAGGAGGAGGCAGGCTGAGGCTGAGGCTGTGACTGCGACTGCCGTTGCCGCTGCGACTGTCATCGCGAATGCGACTACGACTGCGAGAACAGCAGAATTCGACAACTGGATTTTCATCTGAATCTTAAGGGGAATGCTTTCAGATATGCTTCTACACATCGCTGTTAGGTTGCTTTGCCGGGATAATCTGTTTTTTTTTCGAATGCGTTGATTCTCTTGACTTAACTGTAGCTGCAGATGAGCTGCAGAGCTGTTAACAAAGAAATCATAATGACATCACCAGGCGCGCTAATTGAATGGATCTAGACGCCTGAACTTGGTCTGCTATCAGCGCTAGAGCCGAACAAACTATTCGTATTTTGCTAATTCTTGAGAGATGGTATTGGTTTCCCCCTCTTAGCACGCGCTGCGGATGAGCTACAGAACTGCTAGGCACAGCGATTGGAAGGAAATACTTAGGCGCGCTAGTCTGAAGTATTCAGCCGCCTGAACTCAGTCTGTTATCAGCGCCGGGGCCGAACAACTATACATACTCTGCTAATCCTGTGGAGATGGTGATGGTGTTTACGCTGTTCGGCGCAGCAAACGGAAGAACATCGACAGACGCGCTAGCTCCAAGTGTCCAGACGCTTACTTTTTGCGTTGTCCAGACATGCTTCTTTCTCACTGCTTCTTCTCCTTCGCGTTCCTCCATGAGACCGCGCCCTCGCGCGCGCAAGGCGAGATTGCCGCGCCCGCATTGCACGAGGAAGCTCTACGAGTTCCCGGCGGAAACCAAGGTTGCCGCTGGGGCTCGCGGGGCCTCCTCGTGTGGTTTGAGCCGCATTGCGCGGAAGTGCTTGGGGTTCGGCCGAGCGCACAGGGGGCCGTGCGACCGGCACCGGCGGTGAACCGCCAACCTGGTCTGCGACGTCTGCGTTGGCCGATCCGAGCTCCCAAGGGAGCAGGCCAGGACACAGAGAACCTTTACAGCGAAGCTGCAAAGATTAAAGCAGAGATGCATCAAACAGCGAAGCTGTACAGAAATGCACAAGACTGCAAGTACACGAGAAAACAACTAACAATATAATGAGTGAAGCAATGCAGGCCATAGATATGGAAGCAAAGCTAGAAGCAGTGAGGGACCATACAGTAACTACTGGTTTATGCAGCGATTACCGTCTCAACTCCACTGAGACAAACACGAAACTAAGAGAACTAAAATAGCGAGTGCGCTTCAAAGCAATGCGAGACCATACAGTAACCACATATAGCGATTACCGTCTCAGCACCACTGGAAGACCATGCACGTGAAACACAACGTCGAAATGTGGACTAGATAACGAATTAAACGCGCAACATACAGAGTGAGCCAAGACACCCACCACTACTTAGAGCGAATGCGGGCTCTTATCCGAACAAAGTGAAGATCAGGCGAAGCTCTTATTCAACACACGTGCATGCACGACAACACACACAGGCATGAATAAAGGCAACGCAATGACAACTCACAATAGTTCTAACTCGAAGTATGTGGAAATCAAGTGCAATGAGTGCTGAACTCCACTCGAGGCGACGTATGACCTCAAAATCAAAGACCTCAATATCAAGTACAATGAATTCTGAACTTCACTCGAGGCGAAATATGAAATCGGATGCCCAAAGACCTCAATATCAAGATACTCCGATGTCACAAAACTGTCAAAGTACTGAAGAAACTCGAACTGCAACTCGAACTGCAACTTCTAACTCACGAAAAAAACGATTCCAACCACCCCTCGAAGATTCCCACTGCGTTGTGAATAAGAGTACTCAGACTGCGACCAAAGTCAAAATTGGATACGTGCTGAGAGCAGCTCGTACTAGATAACAAATGCGGCAAGCACAATCACAAGCGGCCTGGAAGTACAAGCAGACAGTGCAACAAGTACAAAACAAGCGGCCTGGAAGTACAAGATAACAAATGCAACGAGTACGATCAAAGCAAGCGGCCTATGCACCTGCTCCAATAGGAGCTGTCTCACTTGACACATCAGAGAACCTGGCACCTATCGTCTGTAGGCCCACGGAGAGGAGGTCGTCGCAGCCGACGAAGTACCCGAAGATATGGGACGGCCCGTACACGAGATGTACAGTGGAGTACGATACGTGTGTGCACAGAAAACCTGTCCGCACAATGCGGCTCGAGGAGGCCACCGACGGGCCAGGTCGCCGCTGAGCTCTCCGAGGAGGGACAGCAGCAACCTGGTCTTCTTTGCGTCTTTGCTGGGACCATCTTGGCCACTGAGGCCAGGTCCAACGAAGTCTCAGGCGAAGCGAAGCCTCAAAATTGTCAAGCAAGCAGTCCGCTCTTATAGAGAAACAGACACATGCATGACCAAAGACGTTCGCACAACCTGTGGGAGAACATCGCAGATGCGCTCCGCCGCTGATAACTTGTATCAGGGATCAGAACCCTACAACAGTGAGAACACTGAATAGGCGAAAGTAAAAATTACGACAATAGAGCCAGGAGACCTGGCCAAGAACTGAACATGCACACACTGAATTATAACAGCTCAAACAAATGCACAGACTATGCACTGAATAAGGAGATTTCCATATATTATGTTCAAGAAAACTCACAATCAACAATCCAATACAATAAGTTCGGATTGAAAGGAAGCACTCGAAGACAACGAAAATATACCGCAGAGGCCAAACCTGAGATTTACACCTTCGTTCAAAGTCCGTCAACGTCCTACCGAACCTACACACTTCGTCAAACTCCTGACCTCCTATGTCGGCGCCTTTACCTTTGCCTTTGCCTTTGCCTTTGCAGGCAGTACTTCCACATGACGACGTTGTATCGTTCCTCGGACGTCCATAGAATTGGATTCGGAATTCGTCGCACTTGGAATCCTGTAGAAACTTGGCAGCCTTGGCACGGTTCATCTGCCCTGTAAGATATCTGTGCCTCTCAAAGAATTCCAGAAGGTCCTCCAACGTCGCTTGCACATTCTCGAACGTCCCGCGCTTCCGCACAGCATAATTTGCCCTGGCCTTTGCAGGGATCCCACCTTCTGTCAGAAGTTCTGCAAACAAATCCACACCATTCTTTAAAAACTGGATCGCAGTCGATTCGTTGATACTGCCAGCAGCGTCAATCCATGCCTTAACATCGGCAATGGTGGCCTGAGAGCACGTGGAAGTCCCCTTGGCCTTCACATCGGAAGAAGATGAGACCCCTGCCTTCACATCAGAAGATGAAGAATATGAAAGAGCTGCATACGTGTCAGAAGAAAATGAGACCACTGCCTGCACATCTTTCCCACCTGACTCACGAAGGCGTAGAGCTTCCTTGCACGCAGGCGTCTGACTTTGCATAGAGCTCATGAAGGCGTAGACCCACTGAGTGTGCACGCCAGCATCCATTGAAGTGAACTGAGTTTGCACACAGGCGTCCTTGCAAGTGAACTGAGTTTGCACGCCAGCATCCATTGAAGAAACGTTTGGGGAATCCGTGAAAGCGTCCACTTCCGCACCGTTGTGCATACCCAACACAAGATTCTCTGTTTGCACACAGGCGTCCATTAAAGAGAGCTGAGTTTGTACACAGGCGTCCTGCACGCTGGCGGCAGCGGAACTCCCAACTGTTGAACTCCCAACTGCACTGTCATAAGAATGGGTCTGGCACAAAGTCAAACCAACTGCGGAATTTCCAAATGTTGAACTCCCAACTGCAGTTGAACTCCCAACTGCACTCTCATAGAAATGGGCATGACAAAGAGTCGGGGGGGTCTCCCTTTGCACATGGACACACACAGTCCGGCAAAAAGAAGACGAAGTCTGCACTCCCACTTCCTGGTTCCCCCCCCTGCAGTCTCCCTCCAATCCAGGCGGAGCAGCCAATTCTGTCATAAGAATCGTATAAGTATCGGTTTTTGGCAACAACGAGTCCAAGCAAACGGGAATACATGGCGGCTTGCAGAAGCCCAAATAAACGGCCCGAGATCTTCGCGCAGCTCGCCTGTGACAACTGCGAACATGCGGCATGATTCGTGCAACGAGAAACAAGAATCAAATTCAGGAATAAGTCACACACGCACACGGCGGATCTCCACGCTAGGCGAAGGTACAATACAAATTGCCACAACCACACCGCAACAAGGAATGAATATGAGAGGCCAACAAAGAGAGGCAAGATGTACAGGGAGATGGGCAGTTGCGTAGGCAGAGCAAAAACACCACGCTAGCTCAACGTTCACCTTCGCGGAGGTTCCCCAGGCAGGAGAAAATGAACGTACGCGGAGCTTGGGCCGGCGGTGCTCTTGAGCCCGGAACCTCGTAGAGCTCCTCAACGCGTGAGAGTGCTTAGAGCCGAGGAAGAGAGCTTCAGGAGGTATTTCTCAAAAATTGAACATTCATTTGTTTCATGTCGACGCAAAGTTGGTTCCGCCAAGTGTTTTTATAGTAGAAGTGCGCCTACAGAGCTCATATTAAGACGCAGAGGCCCTCACAGTCGTCAACAGGTGCGAAAAATCTGCTTTCTTAAAATGAATTGTCAAATATCTTTCAAATCTTAGACAAACCGACCCAACGTTACGACATCTTCTTTTCTGGCCGGGTCGACCAACTAGCTCCAGCCCGCGCCGGAATTCCTCTAGCTCATCGATAACGAAGAGCTCTACGAGGTAATAGAGGAATCGATGAGCTAGAGGAATTGGCGCGGGCTGCAGCTAGTTGGCCGACCGGCCTCCGACGGACAATGTGTGAACTTTCGACCGGTTGGGCGAATATTGTGAGACATTTGAACATTCGTTTCAAGAACTGGTATTTTCGCACCTCTAGTGGGTTATGCCGTGTCTGCCAGGGAAATCCTCAGGTCCGTAGCTGCAGTATTACTATCAAATCACTTGGCGGAACCGACTTCCGATAAAAACAGAAAATAACATTTTCGAGCTTTCCAGCTAACGCTTGACGAAGCTCCTTGCGTGTGTTCCGAGCAGTGCCGCGCGAGAAAAGAGCTCCACGAGGCTTCCGGCGGTAACCTGGCGCTGGAGAGCCAGTTGGCAAGAAAAATATCGACTGACCTTTTGCTGACTTGTGGTCGGTTGAAAATTTTGTTGTCGAAATTGAACAATTTGTTTGGGCTCTAGTATTTTTTCCCGTGATATTCGATGTGATTCCCGCTCGCCATCTTAATCTCAGGTCGAGCGGGTGGATATTACTGCCAAAAAGCACTGCGGCGGGATCGGCGGTTTCGGGTCATCCTCACACGCCGTGGCGGTTTTCTGAACATAACTCGAGCTATAGAAGAGCTGAGCTGATATCAATAGAAGCCGATTTAAAATCATCAGGCGAGTTTGTCTGTTGAACGGTCTGCTGCTCGAGCTAGGTCCGTAAAACTATTGGTATTGATCGAGTCATCTTGAGAGGTGCTCTGGATTTTCTGTACTTAACTCGAGATGTAGGGAGGCTAAAGGGCTGATAATCAGAGAAGCGAATTCGAAGACATCAGGCGCGTTCGTCTGTCGCATGCAGAGGTCACATCGGTGCTATCCGAGTCAGATCCGCAAACTATTCGTATCCATCGAGTCATCTCGACAGGAACTGTCGGTTCTGTACTTAACTCGAGCTCTAAGGGAGCTACAGAGCTGATACGCACAGACAACGATGCATAATACTCAGGCGCGCTTGTCTGTTGCATCCAGACGTCTGAAATTGGTCTGCTACTCGAGCCAGGAGCGAAACTATTTGCATCGTTCGCTTCATCTATGGAGGTGCTGTCGGTTTTCGCCTGTAAATCGGGCTGTAGGACAGCTACAGAGCTGATACACAGTTGCATCTAGAGGTCCGAACTGGGTTTGCTACTCGGGCTACGTCCGCAAAACTACTGGCGCTCGCGGTGAACCGTCAACCTGGTCACCGCGGGAGACCTCGTAGAGCTCCTTGCACGCGTAAGGTTTGCTGAGAATCGAAAGAGGGAGCTCCTGGAAGCATTTCTCGAAAAAGAAAAAAAAACTAGTTTTTCATGTCGACGTGAAGTTGGTTCCGCCAAGTGTTTTCATAGTAAAAGTTTGCCTACAGAGCTCATGTTGAGACGCAGAGGCTCTCATAGTCGTCTACAGGTGCGAAACATCTGCTTTCTTAAAATGAATTGTCAAATATCTTTCAAAGCTTAGCAAAACCGACCCAAAGTTATGACATCTTCTTTTCTGGCCAGGTCGACCAACTAGCTCTAGCCCGCGCCGGAATTCCTCTAGCTCATCGATAACGAAGAGCTCTACGAGGTATTCGTATTCTTCGAGTCATCTTGACCAGATGTTGTCCATTTTCTGTATTCAACTCGGGCTGTATTTTCTGGTACGCACAGAAACCGATCCAAAAGCATCAGGAGCGTTCGTCTGTTGCATCGAGAGGTCTGAACTCGATCTGCTACCCAAGCTGGGTTCACACATTTTTTCATATTCGACCGATATTTGTTTTTCCAAATGACGGTCGATTTCTTAGCTGAACTCGAGCGGCCGAAAAATCAGAAGGAAATCATGAGGCGCGAAGTTCTCCCGAATGGTATTGTGCACGGGCGCCGGCGGTGAACCGTCAACCTGGTCACCGCCGGAAACCTCGTAGAGCTCCTAGCACGGATCATATTGCTCAGAATCGAAAGAGAGAGCTTCTGGAAGCATTTCTCGAAAAAAATAATATTCATATTATTCATGTCGACGTGAAGTTGGTTTCGCCAAGTGTTTTGATAGTAAATGTGCGCCTACAGAGCTCATGTTGAGACGCAGAGGCTCTCATAGTCGTCTACCGGTGCGAAAAATCTGCTTTCTTAAAATGAATTGTCAAATATCTTTCAAATCTTAGCAAAACCGACCCAAAGTTGTCACATCTTCTTTTCTGACCGGGTCCACCAACTAGCTCCACCCCGCGCCGGACTTCCTCTAGCTCGTCGACTGGGAACCGGCGGTAAACCGTCAACCAGGTGACCGCCGGGCACCTCTTAGAGCTCTTTTCTTGCACAGCGCTCGTCGGAACACATGAAGGAAGCTGCTGAAGCGAGAGCCGAAAAACTCGAAAAATCACCATTTTTCGGTTTTCATCCAAAGTTGGTTCCTCCAAATGTTTTCATAGTAATACTGCACCTGTGAACCTGAGAATTTGACTGACAGACGCGGCATAACCCACTCCCTTCCCTCCCTCCCTGCCTGCTCACCGAAAAAGCTTATCAGATGACTCAGAAAAACGCATTTTTTGGTGTCGATACAAAGTCGATTCCTCCAAGTGTTTTGATAATAATAATGCCCTTAGAGCCATAAAAAAAGTACGAGCAGCTGCGCCATAGCTTACTACAGGGAATGAAAATCTCACTTCTCAAAACGAATTTCAACATTTTGCATAAAGTGAAAAAAACCGACCCCACGTTACCACATCCTCTCTTTTCGTCGGGTCGGCCAACTAGCTCCACCCTGCGCCCGAATTCCTCTTAGCTCTTTGCCGAAGAGCTCTACGAGGTACAGACGAACACGCCTTATCATTCTCAATCGATTCTTCGCCCCGCCCTCCCTCCCTGTCTGCTCAAGGAAAAAGGTTGTCAGATCACACAGAAAAAACGCATTTTTTGTGCCGGTGCAAAGTCGGTTCCTCCAAGTGTTTTGATAGTAAAAGTGCCCCTAGGGCCATGGGAAATTTGCCAGCAGATGCTCCATATCTTACTACAGGGAATGAAAATATCACTTCTAGAGACGAACTTCAAAATTTTGAACACAGTAAAAAAACTGGGCGCCGGCGGTAAACCGTCAACCTTTCTTACAGCCGGGGGACTCGCAAAGCTTCCTGACCATATATAATGTCGACAAAAAATTGCAGAACGAATAGTTTTTCAGCCCAAGCGATTTCAGACCGCTCGATGCAGCAGCCGAACGCCCCTGATGCTTCTGGCTCGTGTTTTGTGCGTACGAGCTGTAGCTCTCCTACAGCCCCAGTTACGTGCGAAAATCGATAGCACCTCTCAAGATGACTCGAAAAATACGAACAGTTTCGCGAACCTAGCTCGAGTATCAGACCGAGTTCAGACCTCTGAATGCGACAGGCGGACGCGGCTGATGTCTCTGAATCGATTCCTGTGATTACCAGCCCTGCAGCCCCCCTACAGCCCGAGTTAAGTGCAGAAAACCGACATGCTACTATCAGGATGACTCGAACATTACGAATAGCTTCGCGTGAAGCTGTCGGGCAGCAGGACTGACTTCCGTAGTCTGGATTCGAAAGGCGGACGCGCCTGATCTGATTCGCCAACTCGAGTCTTAGGATTTCCAGCCTATTTGCGTGCAGCCACCCCTACAGCCGAGTTCAGTTCTGAAACTGACAGCACATCTCAAGATGACTGAACAAGTCATATAAGTTTCGCGAAAACCTAGCTGGGGCAGCAGACCGAGTCCAGAGCTTAGAATTCAACCAGACTAACTCGCCTGATGATTCTGATTCGGTGTCCTGTAAGTATCAGCTTGTAGCTGTCCTATAGCTCGAGTTTAAGAACAAAAAACCGTCAACGCGTGTCAAGATGACTCGAAACGGCCGATCCCGCCGGGATGCTTTTTGGCAGTAATATCTACCCGATCGATCTGAGATCAAGACGGCGAGCGGGAATAAGATTGAATATCACTGGGAAAAATACTAGAGCTCTAACGAATGGTTGAATTTCGAGCCAAAAGCCATAAAAAAGTCAGTCGAGATGTTTCTTGCCAACTAGCTCTCCAGCGCCCCGGAATTACTCTTAAGCTTCCAGCAACTGGCTAAGAGAAGCTCTACGAGTTACTAGCCAAGGGAAGCTCTACGAGTTACGAGGTAAGAGCTCTACGAGGTATTAGCGCCGGCGGTGAAACGTCAACCTGATCACTGCCGGGAACCTCGTAGAGCTCCCTGCACCCGTAAGGAAGCTCAGGATGAGAGCTTCTGGCAGCTTTTCTTGAAAAAAGTAAATAATGATTGTTCGGAGTTAACATGAAGTCGGTTCCAGGAAATCAACTAATATTCAAACTGGGTCTAGAGAGCTGAGCTGCTGAGGGAATGAATTTTATATGCCAATGCTCGGCGTTAAAATCTGCTTTCTTAAAATTAACTGGCACGGGCAGTGAACCGTCAACCTGGTCACCACCGGGAACCTCGTAGAGCTCCTTCCACGCGTGAGAGTGCTCAGAGTCGAAGGAGATAGCTTCTGGAGGCATTTCTCAAAAAATGAATATTCATTATTTTGATGTCGACATGAAGTTGGTTGCTCCAAGTGTTTTGATAATAAAAGTGCGCCTACAGAGCTCAAATTAAGACGAAGAGGCCCTGACAGTTCACAGGCGCGAAAAGTCTGGACTCTCAAAATGAATTGTCAAATATCTTTCAAATCGTAGCAAAACCTACCCGAAGTTACCACATCTTCTTTTCTGGTCGGGTCGACCAACTGGGCGCCGGCGGTAAACCGTCAACCTTTCTTACCGCCGGGGGACTCGTAGAGCTTCCTGACCATATATAATGTCGAAAAAATTGCAGAGAACGAATAGTTTTTCAGCCCAAGCGATTTCAGACCCCTCGATGCAACAGCCGAACGCCCCCGAGCTCTGTAGCTCTCCTACAGCCCAGGTTACGTGCGTAAATCGACAGCACCTCTCAAGATGACTCGAACAATACGAATAGTTTGGCAAACCTAGCTCGAGTGTACCAGACCGAGTTCACACCTCTGAATGCGACAGGCGGACGCGTCTGATGTCTCCGAATCGATTCCTGTGATTACCAGCCCTGCAGCCCCCCTACAGCCCGAGTTAAGTGCAGAAAACCGACAGCACCTCTCAGGATGACTCGAACAATACGAATAGGTTCACGGACCTAGTTCGGGCAGCAGACCAAGTTCAGAGCTCTGGATTCGACAGACGAACGCGCCTGATGTCTCCAAATCGATTGCTGTGACTACCAGCACTGTAGCCCCCCCTACAGCCCGAGGTAAGTACAGAAAACGACAGCACCTCTCAAGATGACTCGAACAATACGAATAGTTTCGCGATTCTAGATCGGGCAGCAGACCGATTTTAGAGCTCTGGATTGAACAGACAACGCGGCTGATGATTCTGAATCGGTTTCTATTAGTATCAGCTCTGTAGTTGTTCTATAGCTCGAGTTAAACAGAAAACCGAGAGAGTCTGTCAAGATGACTCGAATAATACGAATACGTTTGCGCACCTAGCTCGGCTAGCAGACCGAGTTCAGACCTCTTGATGCAACAGACGAACGCGCCTGATCATTCTGAATCGATAAAATGTGCTTGCCAGCTCTGTAGCTGTCCTGTATCTCGAGTTAAGTTGAATATACCGACAGCGCGTATCAAGATGACTCGAAACGGCCCATCCCGCCTGGACGCTTTTTGGCAGTAAAAGGTAACCGATCGAGCTGAGATTAAGATGGCGAGCGGGAATAAGATCGAATATTACGTCAAAAATACTAGAGCTCAAACGAATGATTGAATTTCGAGAACAAAATGTTCAACCGACCATAAGTCACAAGAAGGTACGTCGAGATTTTTCTTGCCAACTAGCTCTCCAGCGCCCCGGAATTACTCTTAAGCTTCCAGCAACAACTTGCCAAGGTAAGCTCTACGAGTTAAACCGACCCCAGGTTACCATCGTCTCTTCTGGTCGGGGGTGCTCAACTAGCTCCAGCCTGCGCCCGAATTTCTCTTAGCTCTTTGCCCAGGAGCTCTACGAGGTATAACGAAGAGCTCTACGAGTTACATGCTGCAGATGAGCCGTAGAACTGTTCAGCGCAGCAATGGGATATCGCTCGACGCCTGAGATCAGTCTGCTATCAGTTCGGGCTGAAAAACTATTCCCGGAGAGCTCTCTGAGAGCTAGAGGGTTTTAGATTCCCGGAAAGATCTCTGAGAGCTACAGGGCTTTAGAGTGGAAGCCGGACGGTGGTCGTGTCTGCCAGCAGCCCATCTTCGCCGGTCCAGAATCCCCGCAGCGACCTGTGCAACTGGCGCCCGCGGTCAACGTTAAGCTGGTATTTTTGCGTCTTTGCTGGGACCATCTTGGCCACTGAGGCCAGGTCCAACGAAGTCTCAGGCGAAGCGAAGCCTCAAAATTGTCAAGCAAGCAGTCCGCTCTTATCGAGAGAGAGACAGACACATGCATGTCCAAAGACGTTCGCACAACCTGTGGGAGAACATCGCAGATGCGCTCCGCCGCTGATAACTTGTATCAGGGATCAGAACCCTACAACAGTGAGAACACTGAAGAGGCGACATTAAAAATTACGACAATAGAGCCAGGAGACCTGGCCAAGAACTGAACATGCACACACTGAATTATAAGAGCTCAAACAAATGCATAGACAATGCACTGAATAAGGAGATTTCCATATATTATGTTCTAAGAAAACTCACAATCAACAATCCAATACAAGAAGTTCGGATTGAAAGGAATCACTCGAAGAAAACGAAAATCTACCGCAGAGGCCAAACCTGAGATTTACACCTTCGTTCAAAGTCCGTCAACGTCCTACCGAACCTACACACTTCGTCAAACTCCTGACCTCCTATGTCGGCGCCTTTACCTTTGCCTTCGCCTTTGCCTTTGCAGGCAGTACTTCCACATGACGACGTTGTATCGTGCCTCGGACGTCCGTAGAATTGGATTCGGAATTCGTCGCACTTGGAATCCTGTAGAAACTTGGCAGCCTCGGCACGGTTCATCTGCCCTGTAAGATATCTGCGCCTCTCGAAGAATTCCAGAAGGTCCTCCAACGTCGCTTGCACATTCTCGAACGTCCCGCGCTTCCGCACAGCATAATTTGCCCTGGCCTTTGCAGGGATCCCACCTTCTGTCAGAAGTTCTGCAAACAAATCCACTCCATTCTTTAAATACTGGATCGCATTCGACTCGTTGATACTGCCAGCAGCGTCAATCCATGCCTTAACATCGGCAATGGTGGCCTGAGAGCACGCGGAAGTCCCCTTGGCCTTCGCATCGGAAGAAGATGAGACCACTGCCTTCACATCAGAAGAAGATGAATATGAAAGAGCTGCATACGTGTCAGAAGAAAATGAGACCACTGCCTGCACATCTTTCCCACCTGCCTCACGAAGGCGTAGAGCTTCCTTGCACGCAGGCGTCTGACTTTGCATAGAGCTCATGAAGGCGTAGACCCACTGAGTGTGCACGCCAGCATCCATTGAAGTGAACTGAGTTTGCACACAGGCGTCCTTGCCAGTGAACTGAGTTTGCACGCCAGCATCCATTGAAGAAACGTTTGGGGAATCCGTGAAAGCGTCCACTTCCGCACCGTTGTGCATACCAGACACAAGATTCTCTGTTTGCACACAGGCGTCCATTAAAGAGAGCTGAGTTTGTACACAGGCGTCCTGCACGCTGGCGGCAGCGGAACTCCCAACTGTTGAACTCCCAACTGCACTGTCATAAGAATGGGTCTGGCACAAAGTCAAACCAACTGCGGAACTTCCAAATGTTGAACTCCCAACTGCAGTTGAACTCCCAACTGCACTCTCATAGAAATGGGTATGACAAAGAGTCGGGGGGGTCTCCGTTTGCACATGGACACACACAGTCCGGCAAAAAGAAGACGAAGTCTGCACTCCCACTTCCTGGTTCCCCCCCCTGCAGTCTCCCTCCAATCCAGGCGGAGCAGCCAATTCTGTCATAAGAATCGTATAAGTATCGGTTTTTGGCAACAACGAGTCCAAGCAAACGGGAATACATGGCGGCTTGCAGAAGCCCAAATAAACGGCCCGAGATCTTCGTGCAGCTCGCCTGTGACAACTGCGAACATGCGGCATGATTCGTGCAACGAGAAACAAGAATCAAATTCAGGAATAAGTCACACGCACACGGCGGATCTCCACGCTAGGCGAAGGTACAATACAAATTGCCACAACCACACCGCAAAAAGGAATGAATATGAGAGGCCAACAAAGAGAGGCAAGATGTACAGGGAGATGGGCAGTTGCGTAGGCAGAGCAAAAACACCACGCTAGCTCAACGTTCACCTTCGCGGAGGTTCCCCAGGCAGGAGAAAATGAACGCACGCGGAGCTTGGGCCGGCGGTGCTCTTGAGCCCGGAACCTCGTAGAGCTCCTCAACGCGTGAGAGTGCTTAGAGCCGAGGAAGAGAGCTTCAGGAGGCATTTCTCAAAAATTGAACATTCATTTTTTTCATGTCGACACAAAGTTGGTTCCGCCAAGTGTTTTCATAGTAGAAGTGCGCCTACAGAGCTCATATTAAGACGCAGAGGCCCTCACAGTCGTCAACAGGTGCGAAAAATCTGCTTTCTTAAAATGAATTGTCAAATATCTTTCAAATCTTAGACAAACCGACCCAACGTTACGACATCTTCTTTTCTGGCCGGGTCGACCAACTAGCTCCAGCCCGCGCCGGAATTCCTCTAGCTCATCGATAACGAAGAGCTCTACGAGGTAATAGAGGAATCGATGAGCTAGAGGAATTGGCGCGGGCTGCAGCTAGTTGGCCGACCGGCCTCCGACGGACAATGTGTGAACTTTCGACCGGTTGGGCGAATATTGTGAGACATTTGAACATTCGTTTCAAGAACTGGTATTTTCGCACCTCTAGTGGGTTATGCCGTGTCTGCCAGGGAAATCCTCAGGTCCGTAGCTGCAGTATTACTATCAAATCACTTGGCGGAACCGACTTCCGATAAAAACAGAAAATAACATTTTCGAGCTTTCCAGCTAACGCTTGACGAAGCTCCTTGCGTGTGTTCCGAGCAGTGCCGCGCGAGAAAAGAGCTCCACGAGGCTTCCGGCGGTAACCTGGCGCTGGAGAGCCAGTTGGCAAGAAAAATATCGACTGACCTTTTGCTGACTTGTGGTCGGTTGAAAATTTTGTTGTCGAAATTGAACAATTTGTTTGGGCTCTAGTATTTTTTCCCGTGATATTCGATGTGATTCCCGCTCGCCATCTTAATCTCAGGTCGAGCGGGTGGATATTACTGCCAAAAAGCACTGCGGCGGGATCGGCGGTTTCGGGTCATCCTCACACGCCGTGGCGGTTTTCTGAACATAACTCGAGCTATAGAAGAGCTGAGCTGATATCAATAGAAGCCGATTTAAAATCATCAGGCGAGTTTGTCTGTTGAACGGTCTGCTGCTCGAGCTAGGTCCGTAAAACTATTGGTATTGATCGAGTCATCTTGAGAGGTGCTCTGGATTTTCTGTACTTAACTCGAGATGTAGGGAGGCTAAAGGGCTGATAATCAGAGAAACGAATTCGAAGACATCAGGCGCGTTCGTCTGTCGCATGCAGAGGTCACATCGGTGCTATCCGAGTCAGATCCGCAAACTATTCGTATCCATCGAGTCATCTCGACAGGAACTGTCGGTTCTGTACTTAACTCGAGCTCTAAGGGAGCTACAGAGCTGATACGCACAGACAACGACGCATAATACTCAGGCGCCCTTGTCTGTTGCATCCAGACGTCTGAAATTGGTCTGCTACTCGAGCCAGGAGCGAAACTATTTGCATCGTTCGCTTCATCTATGGAGGTGCTGTCGGTTTTCGCCTGTAAATCGGGCTGTAGGACAGCTACAGAGCTGATACACAGTTGCATCTAGAGGTCCGAACTGGGTTTGCTACTCGGGCTACGTCCGCAAAACTACTGGCGCTCGCGGTGAACCGTCAACCTGGTCACCGCGGGAGACCTCGTAGAGCTCCTTGCACGCGTAAGGTTTGCTGAGAATCGAAAGAGGGAGCTCCTGGAAGCATTTCTCGAAAAAGAAAAAAAAACTAGTTTTTCATGTCGACGTGAAGTTGGTTCCGCCAAGTGTTTTCATAGTAAAAGTTTGCCTACAGAGCTCATGTTGAGACGCAGAGGCTCTCATAGTCGTCTACAGGTGCGAAACATCTGCTTTCTTAAAATGAATTGTCAAATATCTTTCAAAGCTTAGCAAAACCGACCCAAAGTTATGACATCTTCTTTTCTGGCCAGGTCGACCAACTAGCTCTAGCCCGCGCCGGAATTCCTCTAGCTCATCGATAACGAAGAGCTCTACGAGGTATTCGTATTCTTCGAGTCATCTTGACCAGATGTTGTCCATTTTCTGTATTCAACTCGGGCTGTATTTTCTGGTACGCACAGAAACCGATCCAAAAGCATCAGGAGCGTTCGTCTGTTGCATCGAGAGGTCTGAACTCGATCTGCTACCCAAGCTGGGTTCACACATTTTTTCATATTCGACCGATATTTGTTTTTCCAAATGACGGTCGATTTCTTAGCTGAACTCGAGCGGCCGAAAAATCAGAAGGAAATCATGAGGCGTGAAGTTCTCCCGAATGGTATTGTGCACTGGCGCCGGCGGTGAACCGTCAACCTGGTCACCGCCGGAAACCTCGTAGAGCTCCTAGCACGGATCATATTGCTCAGAATCGAAAGAGAGAGCTTCTGGAAGCATTTCTCGAAAAAAATAATATTCATATTATTCATGTCGACGTGAAGTTGGTTTCGCCAAGTGTTTTGATAGTAAATGTGCGCCTACAGAGCTCATGTTGAGACGCAGAGGCTCTCATAGTCGTCTACCGGTGCGAAAAATCTGCTTTCTTAAAATGAATTGTCAAATATCTTTCAAATCTTAGCAAAACCGACCCAAAGTTGTCACATCTTCTTTTCTGACCGGGTCCACCAACTAGCTCCACCCCGCGCCGGAATTCCTCTAGCTCGTCGACTGGGAACCGGCGGTAAACCGTCAACAGGTGACCGCCGGGCACCTCGTAGAGCTCTTTTCTTGCACAGCGCTCGTCGGAACACATGAAGGAAGCTGCTGAAGCGAGAGCCGAAAAACTCGAAAAATCACCATTTTTCGGTTTTCATCCAAAGTTGGTTCCTCCAAATGTTTTCATAGTAATACTGCACCTGTGAACCTGAGAATTTGACTGACAGACGCGGCATAACCCACTCCCTTCCCTCCCTCCCTGCCTGCTCACCGAAAAAGCTTATCAGATGACTCAGAAAAACGTATTTTTTGGTGTCGATACAAAGTCGATTCCTCCAAGTGTTTTGATAATAATAATGCCCTTAGAGCCATAAAAAAAGCACGAGCAGCTGCGCCATAGCTTACTACAGGGAATGAAAATCTCACTTCTCAAAACGAATTTCAACATTTTGCATAAAGTGAAAAAAAAACGACCCCACGTTACCACATCCTCTCTTTTCGTCGGGTCGGCCAACTAGCTCCACCCTGCGCCCGAATTCCTCTTAGCTCTTTGCCGAAGAGCTCTACGAGGTACAGACAAACACGCCTTATCATTCTCAATCGATTCTTCGCCCCGCCCTCCCTCCCTGTCTGCTCAAGGAAAAAGGTTGTCAGATCACACAGAAAAAACGCATTTTTTGTGCCGGTGCAAAGTCGGTTCCTCCAAGTGTTTTGATAGTATAGTACAAGTGCCCCTAGGGCCATGGGAAATTTGCCAGCAGATGCTCCATATCTTACTACAGGGAATAAAAATCTCACTTCTAGAGACGAACTTCAAAATTTTGCACAAAGTAAAAAAACTGGGCGCCGGCGGTAAACCGTCAAACTTTCTTACAGCCGGGGGACTCGCAAAGCTTCCTGACCATATATAATGTCGACAAAAAATTGCAGAACGAATAGTTTTTCAGCCCAAGCGACTTCAGACCGCTCGATGCAGCAGCCGAACGCCCCAGATGCTTCTGGATCGTTTTTTGTGCGTACGAGCTGTAGCTCTCCTACAGCCCCAGTTACGTGCGAAAATCGATAGCACCTCTCAAGATGACTCGAAAAATAAGAACAGCTTCGCGAACCTAGCTCGAGTATCAGACCGAGTTCAGACCTCTGAATGCGACAGGCTGACGCGGCTGATGTCTCTGAATCGATTCCTGTGATTACCAGCCCTGCAGCCCCCCTACAGCCCGAGTTAAGTGCAGAAAACCGACAGCACCTCTCAAGATGACTCGAACAATACGAATAGCTTCGCGGAGCTAGCTCGGGCAGCAGACCGAGTTCCGAGCTCTGGATTCGACAGGCGGACGCGCCTGATTCTCCAACTCGATTCTTATGATTACCAGCCCTGTGGCCACCCTACAGCCCGAGTTCAGTACAGAAAACTGACAGCACCTCTCAAGATGACTCGAACAATACAAATAGTTTCGCGAACCTAGCTCGGGCAGCAGACCGAGTCCAGAGCTTTGGATTCAACAGACAAACGCGCCTGATGATTCTGAATCGGTGTCTGTAAGTATCAGCTCTGTAGCTGTCCTATAGCTCGAGTTAAGAACAAAAAACCGTCAACGCGTGTCAAGATGACTCGAAACGGCCGATCCCGCCGGGATGCTTTTTGGCAGTAATATCTACCCGATCGATCTGAGATCAAGACGGCGAGCGGGAATAAGATTGAATATCACTGGGAAAAGTACTAGAGCTCTAACGAATGGTTGAATTTCGAGCCAAAATCCATAAAAAAAGTCAGTCGAGATGTTTCTTGCCAACTAGCTCTCCAGCGCCCCGGAATTACTCTTAAGCTTCCAGCAACTGGCTAAGAGAAGCTCTACGAGTTACTAGCCAAGGGAAGCTCTACGAGTTACGAGGTAAGAGCTCTACGA